ACTATTGGATCTTTAGGTGTTATGGTTGTTATGTTTATGTTAAACAGAGGAATCATTGATTGATTTACTAAAGTTAAGGTCAATTCACTATTCAAACTACTGGAACCTATAGATAAGGAGTGTCTAATTTTGTGCCTCATTACTTTGATCGAGTCTATTAGTATATTGGATGTAACTTTAATTTTGTCATTTGCTCTCAAGTTTTGATGGTCTCCTTTTAGTTGAGTTGTTAGCATATGATTTACTTGAATCAACAACTCTTCATTTCTAATTTTCTTTTATAAATCCATTTCTTTTTTATTAGTGGCATGTTATTTATAAAGGAGAGCTTTGAACCATTTACGTGGGATTGTGAGGTTTCATTTCAGCTTTAAACTATTTATGGATCGTGTGGGAATTCCAATGAGCTTTTATATTATATATTTCTGGACAAATCTATTAACCAATATCATTTTAATGGGGGCTCAATTATCATTATGAAAATGGGATTAATGATACATTTTTATATTCTTAAATGAGGAGGGTATTTCTCTGAATGTTCGACCTATATATTCATTCTTTATGTAGCATCTCGATTGAATGATTTCCAATAAACTTAAACGAATTAATAGACTTAAACATAACATAAAAATATAAATATTAAAATATGAACATTCCGGCCAACGGCCCGGGTTATAAGCTAGTCTCAAAAATGAAAAATCACTTTTCATTATGGGATTTGCTAAAGTGTGGACTTCTCCATGGTAATATACATATTGTATGTGATAAATAATGCATAATCACTATTTTATTTTATAGTTTGAATTTATCTACTTTTCATAATATTAGACCATAAATTATGAAATATTTGTGTCACTCTATTTTATTATTCACATAGGAGGAAATATATAGTTATTTTTCATATATCAATTAAACAAACTTATTACGCAAGTCTTTCTTAAAATCTCGAAAGTGTTTCTTAACTACTATTATAATCTGTAAGTGCACTCGATCAAGAAGTGTACATGCATATTATGCCATTTTGGACACTCATTTCTAAAGTTGGGAGGTGATACCAGTAACATTCAATCGTTTCTCGATTTCAAGATCTTCTACCTCTTTCTCTACCTCTTCCTTGAAGGATATCTCAATCATGAGTTCTTATGACAACTTCATGGATTGTTTTCAAGACATGCTCATTTTCAAATGTGTACTAAAGTTTTGAACTTTTGCTTATGGACCATCGATGAGCTATGCAAGGCATCAACAGAGAGAGTACCAATATATTTTGATTCCCAATAGTGTCCTCCAAATTTGTTCAACAATTTTACGTTAGTTATTGCTGCTCCACAGTTCCTCATAGCATTTGCCATAGACATCACTTTTTTATAAGAACTAGAACGGAAGCCCGCGCTACGCGGCGAGGCGTGAAACTATTGCAACATGAATATTGATCAAACGAAAAACGGCTAACACATTCTTTGTTCTTGAATTAAAATTACAACACAACTTAAACATTAATGTGAGGGATGCACATAAAGAAGACAATTGGAACCCAAAAGGCAAGATTGATGGATAGAGATAAATGTAGCATCAGTAGAAGGTGAGAGTCTAAACACCATATGGTACACATGGCAAGGCCTCACGATCAAAAGTGAGTAAAGGGGTAGCTAGTGTAGACTAACAACAAAGCAGTGGTATAAATTCGGATTCCCATGAGCAAGGTTTGCTTCATGGTTCGTAGTGACTTTGCAATTTGTAGAATAATCTGGTGGAATGTAAAAATATATACATGAGAAAACAAACTACATTGTACACACCAATACAGAGTACATAGGTGAAGAATGTCAAAGGCAATTAGCTTCATTAAGGAAAATGAAAATCTAGTTTATAGGGATCAAAAGAACATATCGATCCAAAGTGATAAAAAGACCCGCTGCTGCCCTCTCATCAGATGATGATGTCGTCTTACCCTAGCAGCGCTTGTCATTACAGAAAAGGGATCTCAACGGACCCTTTCCGAAATGGCTTGATGCAAGTTGGGTTTGTGGACCAAAGGAAAGGAGAAAGAATAGAGGCAACTCACATAGAAAGTGAAAATTATGTACAATTTTTGACATTACAGGGTGACTCAAGGATCCATGGGTTCGGATGACCCTCCCATTAATCCGAATCGTAGTAACCAATTGAAAACAATAGAAGAAGGAAATCAATTAGCATCATTGGAGAAAATGAAAAATCTGGATATTATAGGGGACAAAAAAATATACTGATGCAAAACACAAAAATCCCTTCATTATCACTCTGTAGAGGGCAACTAATACAACTGTTGAAGCCATTCTAACATTGGTGCTTCTCATCGAGACATCAAACACATGACCCTAGTTTCTAGCAAGCATTATTGATTAAAAAGTCAAATGTAATTGCACTTTTGGTCCTCAAATTTGTGGGAAATAGCAGAATTATCACCCATTTAATGTGATTCTAAGTAAAAGTATGGTTTTTACTTGTTCTTTTTAATAAGAATCGACCCAAAACCGGTACACACTAGATTCAATTCTCTTTGACCGGTTTGATAATGTGGGACGAGTTTTTGAAAAAATCCACACCCGATCCAATCCTTTAATTACAAAAGCGGATAAATTTCGTTCTCGGCCTAAAATTCGGCAACACCGATATCGGGTAGAATTACAAAAGCGGGTAAAATTTATCCCCGGGCCAAAAATCATCAACACAGGTTCAACTCGCTTTGAACGGGCTGAATTAGATTGAAAATGCGGGTAAAATGCGTTCTTGATCTAATTCAATGACTACAAAAGTGGATAACATTCATTCATGCTCCTAAAAGTGCCAAGGTTAAAACTCATCCTCGACCCTAAAAATCGCCAACATTGGATTCAACTCGATATAGTGCGGTGAGTTTTTAACAAATCCACACCCGGCCCAATTCGTTAATTACAAAAGTGGGTAAAATTCGCTCCCGGCCTTCAATTCGGCAACACCGATACCAGGACGGAAAAAGCGGGTAAAATGCGTTCTCGACCCAATTCAATGATTACAAAAGTGGATAAAATTCATTCACGCCCAGTGTAAAGGAAAAAACTCGTACTCGACCCAAAATTTGTCAATACTGGATTCAACTTGATAAAGCGGGGCGACTTTTTAATAAAATCCACAACCGACCCAATTCGTTAATTACAAAAGCCGGTAAAATTCGTTCCCAGACTAAAATTTGGCAACACCGATACCGAGTCGGATTAGATTGAACACACATGAATTTTGATTCAATCGTTATAAGAGGATATATTTAAAATATTTTATTAATGACCCAATTTTTTAATTACAAAAGCGGGTAAAATTGGTTCTCGGCCTAAAATTTGGCAACACCGATACCGGGTTGGAAAATGTGGGTATAATGCGTTCTCGACCCAATTCAATGATTACAAAAGTGGATTAAATTTTTGTTTTCAATTGTCATAAGAGGAAATATTTAAAATATTTGATTAATGACCCAATTCGTTAATTACAAAAGCGGGTAGAATTCGTTCTGGGTCTAAAATTTGGCAACACCGATGCCGGGTTGGGAAAGGCGGGTATAATGCATTCTCAACCCAATTGATTGATTACAAAAGTGGATAAAATTCATTCATAACCTGGCCTAAAATTTGGCAACACCGATACGCGGTCGGAGAGGGCGGGTATAATGCGTTCTTGACCCAATTGAATGATTACAAAAGTGGATAAAATTCATTCATAACCCTAAAAGTCCCTAAACTCGTTGATGTCGCAAGATTGCACACCCGACCCAATCGTTGACACTAAGATTAACTCGCTTAACAAAATAAAAGGAAATAAAATTAAAAATCGTTCCAGCCCCCAAAAAATAGCAAGTTCAAACCGGGTTGAATTAGTTTGAATCCATTTGAAAAAAAAATTAGTGTAGTGAAAATTACAATAATCCAAAAAGTCTTTAAACTTATGGTTAATTAGAATTTAGAAATGGTCACAAGTTAAGATGAACAAAATTACAAATGGGCCACTCCTTGGATGTGACTCTAAAGAATAGTAAAAACGTTGCTTGTTCTTTTAATATAGTAAAGTAATGATATAGGGTGCGCCTATGGTGCATTGCATGTTAGCGTAACTTGCACTTTTTGGTCAACCTCAGTTAGGATTAGGTCGACATAATCTGTTATTTCAGTGTAAAAACAGTTTTATGGTGCTTACTTTGGAGATTCATATCTTGCAATTGACTCGATGGAAATTGGAGATTAATAGCTTGTTTTGAAGCTGGAGTGTCCCTCTACACATTAAAGTGCTTGGGTGCTCAATAGAAAGTACTGAAGACCAATTTTAAACTTAATCAAAAGGCTATGCCAAAAATGGGAAACAGCCTGAAAATGGCTAAGTCTGGGAACGTGTTTCTCAAGCCTAATTTGGAGCTCAATTCGAGAAGCATGGATGGCAGTCGAGTCCAGCGGCCTCTGCAAAATGAAAGTAGGTATGTTTGTATACAAAGGCATGACATTGGATGAAAGATTTGATATATGGAAGGGTTCAAACAAAAGGCTCGAAGTTGCTACAAAGTAAGCTGCCTTCTAGCACAAGCAAGCTGCCAGAAAAACAGCCTTTGTAGCAACTTCGAGCCTTTTGTTTGACACCTTCTAGATATCCAATATTTCATCCAATGCCTTGCCTTTTTCAGGCATTTTCCCATTTTTGGTATTGCCTTTTGATCAGGTTCAAAATTGGTCTTCTGGACTTCCTATAGAGCTCCTAAGCACTTCAATGTGTAGAGGGACACTCCAACTTCAAAACAAGCTATTACTTTCCAATTTACATTGAGCCAATAGTAAGATATGGATCTTCAAAGTAGACACCATGAAACTGTTTTTACACTAAAACAACAGATTCGGTCAACCTAATCCTAAATGAGTTTGACCTAATCCTAACCGAGCTCGACCGAAAAGTGCAAGTTACGTTGACTTGCAAGTCACCATGGCAAAGTCCAATGATATATATCAATAAAATTATCTTTATTGAGCAATAGTACTGCATGCATGGCAAGCTAAGAGAATATTTTTTGTATTTTTCTTGTACAAGACAAGATTCTGATCTTTGCCCATCACTTGGCAAAAGTGGGATGGTGGGGGAGAGGAACCAAAACCAGATCATTTTTCCTTCTAACGGTGACACCAAAGCTCTCAGCCATGTCAAGCTCTTGGTTTCTCTTCCCTCCGGGAAGCTCCCAATCAAAATGGTACAGTAACTTGGCCACCGGCAGCTCAATGTTGGCCATCGCAAATGATACTCCGGGGCACCTCCTCCGTCCGGCTCCAAACGGGGTGAATTCAAAATGATCCGACTCAACATAATTCACGGTATTATTCCCATGTAAAAATCTCTCCGGAACGAACCTTTCAGCATCGGACCAGTATCTTGGATCTCGACATATCATCCAGGAGTTGATCGAAACTATGGTGTTATGTGGAATGTCGTATCCAGAAATGTTGCAGCTCGTGCGACTTTCTCTTACGATCAAAGCAACCGGTGGATGGAGCCTGATGGCCTCCTTGATGCAACATTTTAGGAAAGGAAGATCTTGAATGGCGGTTTCTTCATCCACATCTTGCCCTTTGGAATCGAAAATTCGCCTCACCTCGTCTTGTGCCCTTTTCATAGCAGAAGGATTCTTGACTATTTCGGACATTATCCACCCAACTGTTGCCGAAGATGTCATACTCCCAGCAACCAACATGTCCTGCAAACTCGTAATATAGTCGCATCGTTCAATAATATCCATATTATCAGACATACAAGGGGTTAGGTTTCACCCTTATCAAATTACGGTTAATTACATTGAAGTAACTAATAAATATCTAAATAGCAAAACTCGATTAGCGTACTACGTAGTCATCTTTGATGAATGATAAATAATGAAATTTCTCACCAAGAGGATAGCTTTAATGTTGTTGTCAGATAGGGGAACTTGGAGGTCACCACTCTTTTGCAGCTTCAGAAGCACATCCACCAAATCCTCCCTTACACGATTTCCATCATCCAATCCACTGCTCCTCTTCTTCCTGTGATCACTCAGAACATCCTCAAGAATCCTATCCGCCACACGAGTCACCCCATTCAGTTTAGGGCTAAACATCCTAGTCATGGCCTTGAGCATTTCCCCATGAGAAGGGAACAAGTCAGCCAATCCAAGTCTTGAAGTCAACTTCATGATGTCCATGGCCAATGACATCAAAGTCTCATGGTCCTTGTACTTCCTGCCAAATGCCGACCTCGAGGTCACCCCGCAGCTCATCTGGAAGATCAACCTGGTGAGATTAACGGGTGATGATGAACTGGATCGAACCGACTCGATCAGGTTCGAGACCTCCTGGCTCCGAATGGAAGCGAACGACTTGACCCGGGTCGGGCTCAGGAGCTCCATCTGGCAGATCTTGCGGACCTGCAGGTAGGATGGTCAAAATGTAATGTTTGATGTAATCAGGGTAGTTTCTGTAATTCGTAGTATAGGTGCTAAACCTCGCACCTGGCGCCAGTAGTCCCCGTAGGGGGCAAACAAGACGTCGGTGCAGTCGTAGAAGATGAGGGCAGGGAAGAGCAGGGGAGCTCTCTGCGCGAATGTTATGTCGTGGTCTTTGAGTATTTCCTTAGCGAGTTCGGGAGAGGAGACCACAAGGATGGAGATTTGGCCGAGTTTGAGCGGGAAGAGTGGACCGTGATTCAATGCTAATCGATGGAGGGCGCGGTGGAGTTTCGAAGAGGAGAAGATGAGGTTGTGGACGTTGCCTAATAGTGGTAGTGTTGCAGGCCCTACTGGGAGGTTTGTGAGGATGGATGATTTGGTGGTGGTGAATCTCTTTGCTGCCGCAAAGGAGAGCAAGAGGAGTGAAGCGAGGAGGGTAATGATAACAAAGTTAGGAAACTCCATTGTTATAGCTTGGTGTTATGAGGTTATGCTATGCTAAGAGGAGGGTGTATTGGTGTAGAAGGATCCTGGACTTGTATATATAGTCGTGCACGTGGAGCAAAAATTGATGAACAATAACTCACAGTTCAAGAGTTCTTCTTGTAACTTATAATTGAGTGTACGGCGTAAGTGCCCAAAACTTGTTTGTTTATTGATTGATTGCTAGATCAGGCTAATGCTATAGTTACTACAATACATAGGTCCTAATTTTTTTTTATAATTAATACATAGGTCGCTAATTAGAGATGACAATTTGAACCCGTCCCGTCGGGTATTACTCGACATGGCCCATGAAGGGGAGGGTATACCTGATCCGTAGTAGCGAGGGGCGGGGCATGGATATCTACTTTCGATCTGACTCTCCCCACCTCATTCTTGGCCCATTATATCTCAATTTCTTACTATACCTATCCATATTTCTCATATTTTGCCTTTTCTACAAATAGTTGACTTTATCTCTAAACTAGTTAGACTCAGTTACACATTATATTATAATAATTTCTTATTCATAAAGTGTTTTTCTTTGTTTTATTGTACAAGGTAAAATTTGCTTGTTTTTTTCAATTAACATGTAAGAGTGTGTCGACTCGCCCCACCCCGTACCCTTATGGATATTACCCACCGCAATTCACATTTAGTGCGGAACAGGAATGAGTATTGAGATTCCCGTCCATTTGCCATCACTACAGCTAAAATTAATACGTAACCCTAACTATAGCCAAACCCTACTTAAACGCCTAAGCCGCTCGACCACACCCTAAACTTCTCCTAACCCGTAACCCTACCGTACTCCTTAATTATTCAGCCCACACAACCTCCTTCCTAGACTAGTGATCCCATTAAACAACCCGAAGCTACCTAACAAATAACTAAACCCATAACACCCAAAAAGACTATCCTCCCCTAGGCCGATTTCCCCATAAAATAGAAATACTATCCTGTCAAGCTACTATAAGGTTAAGTGGTCAACTGTGAATATTTGGGTGTAATTTTGAGATTATGTGTAGATTTATAGTTGAGTAACTTCATTCATGAACTGCAGTTACTTCAAAAAATTCCCGCCCATAACTTGTTTATATAGTCGTTTCTTGTCTGTGTGGAGTAACTTCAATCATGCATGTCGTATGTACAACACGTAATTGTGAATACTTGATTCTAATTTTGAGATTGTGTAAACTTACAAAAGATTCCCATAAGTCAAACACTCGATTTGAAGATGATTTTCATTGGTACGAATGTGAATAATTCGAACGGTTCAATCTCGTTCCTATATTCCAATTGTCGGGGCAATTAGGACGAGGGACCATTAATGGGCTTAATAAATTCGTCACGTGCATGCAAAGTGATAGTTTTAGCTAGTAGACTAGGGCACTAACGTACGTCCATGAGATCCAGTGATCCACCGCTTGATAAAGGTGAAGGAATTGTGTAGTATGGTAACACTTTCCTCAAAGGGTACCATTGTACTTAAGCTCCAAATGAGCCGAGCTGAGCCTAGTTTACCTCATGTTGAGCTTGATTCGTTAACAAATGAGTTAAGCTCGAGCTCGACCCATTTATTAACAAGCCGAGTCGAGTCCAGTTCGAGCTAGACTTGTTTACTAAATTCTTAGATCGTATTTGATACATTCATTTTGTATGTCGTGTATGGTACATGTGATTGATATAAAGGTAAAAAAATAATCAAATGTTCAACATTAATTAATCTTATATTATAATTTGTAGTTGTCATATTGTTTAGTTAATAATTTTTTTTTAGATGGGAATCTAAAATTTCATTAAGCTCAGGCCAAAGAAACAGCCTCTCAAACCTATCGAATACAAAAAAGCTAAATCTGTATAGCTTCTGCACCTATAAGTCGATAAAAAAAACCTCCTATCTACTCATTTACATCAGCAAGGAAATCAAGAAGCCTCTGGGATTCCGGATCACCCTGCATCCTGCACACAACTTCACCACGCACACCTCTAAACAACTCCATCGGAGATCTAGCAGATCTATCTCCATACAGACGCGAACAACGCTCACGCCAAATCCAGCTGAGCCCAACACACCAAAACAGACGGCAAATTTTTGACTTTACAGAGTTCCCCCCCCCCCCCCCCCCAGTTCTGTCAACCATATGCTCCCACTGCAAAAAAGAAGGCGGGGCATACATTCTCAGACACTTCTTCAACACAAAAACTGTGTACGAGCATTGGCTCATTAAATGAATTCTATTTTCTCTACCACCTGGACACAATAAACAAAGTCCAGAAACCATCTTCCCCCATCTCAAGAGCTTGTCTTGAGTTGTCAGTCTATCATGCATAGCAAGCCACACTATAAAACCATGTCTCGGTATTATCTCCTGTCTCCAAATCAGCTTTGTCCAAGGCAGCTCAGGGTCATGCTGCCTAATTGACTGCCATACTCTATTAACAGAATATCTTTCCATTTTCTCACCCTGCCAAAGAACATCAGGAGCATTCCCAGAAATAAACTGTGTAGCTAAACTTCTGCACTTCAAAATTCGTCTCCAGATCCACATCCCTGCAGTCCTAGAATCAACATCCCAAATGCCCTGCTGCTTCAAGCGGTACCTATGCACCCATGCAACCCGAAAACTTGTGTTTTCTGAATTATATGAAGCCAGTAAACAAACAGCAAATCCGTGGGTATTTGAACCCGAATTCAGAGATCCCCCATTAGTTAATATGTCCCATAAGTGCCTTAAAACACACGCTTTGTTCCAAATTCCAAAGTTCCTTATTCCCAATCCACCTTCCAGCTTCGGCTTTGCCAGTAATTCCCAAGCCATGACAGCCTTCTTCCTTGTACCATCCTCACCAGAGTTCCAAAGAAACACATTACATAGCTTCTCCACTTCTTTGATTACATACTGAGGCAGTAAAAATAGATTTAACCAATATTGTAAAGTACCAGTAATAACTGAGGAAACCAACTGAATTCGACCAGCATAACTAAGTGATTTTGCTCTCCAGCTTCTCAATCTCTGAGTTATTCGATCAATCAATACTTGACAATCCCTGCGAGAAAGCTTTCCTGTAATCATAGGAACTCCTAGATACTTTACAGGCAAGCTTCCCAGAGGAAACTCAGAGTAAGCAGATATTCTTTCCTTCTCCTCTTGTAGAATCCCAGCACAAAACAACTGACACTTAGCAGGATTACACCTTAAACCAGAGACAGAATAAAACTTATCCATCAAGCGTCTAATTCCAGCTACCCCCCGAATTGAACCATTGGTAAACATTACCAAATCATCAGCAAAACAGACATGAGTAATATGAAGCGGTTTACACCTTGGATGGAAAGGTATTTGATAGTCAATAACATCCTTCTTCACCATACAGTCCAAAAACTCCATAGCAATCACAAACAAATAAGGGGACAAAGGGTCTCCTTGCCTAAGACCCTTTTTAGCCACAATTCTACCACACAGTCCACCATTCACAGCCACTCTAATCAAAGGAGTAGTAATGCAAGCTCTAATCAATCTCATATAGCCATCAGGAAAATTCATCACGTTCATCACCTTGAACAGGAACTCCCAATCAACTGAATCAAAAGCCTTCATAAGGTCAATTTTTACAGCACATCTAGGAGTTATAACTTTCTTATGATAATCCTTCACTAATTCAGAGACCAACAAGATATTATCACTTATGGCCCTTCCTTTCACAAACGCTGACTGAGATTTGCTAATCAGTTTTGGTAATACTTTAGCCATTCTGTTTGCTAACAACTTAGAGATACCCTTGTAAAGAACATTACAGCAAGAAATTGGCCTATAGTCCTTCATATGTTCAGCACTAGGGATTTTAGCAATTAGAGCAAAAATGGTTGAATTCACTATGGGAGCTAAATAACCAGTAGAGAAGAATTTCAATATTACCTCTTCCACATCTTTTCCAATGATATCCCAGTGAGTATTGTAGAACTCCACTGGAAAACCATCAGGCCCAGGCGCCTTACCCTTCCCCATTTCAGCAAACACTTTCCTTATTTCCATCCTTGTAATTCCCTGCATAAGCTCTTCACCATCCTCAACACTCAGTCTATTCTGAATTAGGCTATGGAAATACTCTATCGGGTACTGCTAAACATTTGGATCCACTGATCCTATCAACTTTGAATAGAAATCAACAGCAATAGACCCTATCCCTTGCACATCAGTCACTATGTTATTTTGGGAGTCATACATTCTTGTTATCTGCTGCTTCTGGTTTCTAATTTTAACAGACTTGTGAAAGAAAGAAGTGTTAGAGTCACCTTCTTGTATGTGTTGCACTCGAGACTTCTGTTTAAAGAACATCTCTTCAGCTTTCCTCAGCTCCTGACATTCTAGGTTTACCCTCTTCTCTTCCTCAACAAGAAGTGAGGAAGGGTTCTTCAAAACAGCACACTGAGCAGTTTCAAGAGCAGTTTCAGCCTCACGAACTCGACTAGATATTTCTGAGTAAACCTCACGATTAAGCTTCTTTAAACCATTCTTCACCTGACCCAACTTGGAATAGAAAATAAAGTGAGGATAACCACTAAAAGACTTCTTCCATGCCTCCTTAATAATTGAGAGATAATGGGGATGAGCTTGCCAGAAGAGAAAATACTTAAATGGCTTAGGTAAGGATCGCAGCTTAGGAGCAGTAAGCAAAAACAAAGCACAATGATCTGAGATACCAGGGGGAATTGTGCACGCTGAACTAATAGGAAATCTATCAATCCAAGCTTCATTAATTAAAATTCTGTCAATCCTTCGTGCAATTGGATTATCTTTCTGCTTGTTCCACCATGTAAACCATGTCCCTGCAGTCTTGTGATCCACAACCTCCATATCCTTGAACCATTCCCTAAAATCCAGCATACTAGATGTGATTTGCTCTACATTCGAAGCCTCATTAACCTCACTGATAGCATTAAAATCACCCATGATGATCATAGGAGTAGAAACTTCCTTAACCGCAACCAGTTCCCTATACATAATCTTCCTTTCCACCTCCTTATTAGGA